GTTCTTAATTGGGCACGACAAGCTGGATTTTTTAATGATTTTTCTGAATTAGATCAAATAACAACAAACGCGAAATCATCACATGTATTTTTTCTTCCAGCATTTGATGGTCATAATAATGATCCATATTGTGGATCGGGTTTTATTGGTATAAGTAGTACAACAACACGTGATGATCTACTTCGTTCAATACTTGAATCAATTGCATTCATTGTTTATGAATTATTTACATCTTTACGAGATAATTTTAATGTATATCAACCTGATAAACAATTTAAATGTTTACGAACAGCTGGTAAAGTATCATCATGTGATTTTATTTGTCAAACTATTACAAATTTAATACAATTACCTATTGAACGTTGTTATGCATTTGATTATGCATCTGGTATTGGAGCAGGATTTTTAGCTGCGTATGGTTATGGATTAATCGATGATTATGAACATTTTCAAAAAATTATAACAGTTGAAAAAGTTTTTCGACCGATCAAATCAGAAATAACAGAAGAAAATTTTAAACAATGGAAAACAATTATTCCACGATTTACTAAATGGTATAAAAAAGATGATATGTAATCATGACAAAAAGTTTTTCTTCTCTTCTCTCTGAATATTCGTCATAAATATTTGTTCACTAATGATGACGTTCATTTTTTTTGATCTTCAATATCACGCAGGCATGTCTAGTCAGTAGTCTTGGGCGAATGCTATATCGAAGATTACAAAAATATGAACGATTACCTTGAAATTTTTTTTCTTAATCTTTGATAATTTCATATAATAAATAAAAGAGTTTTATTTGTATAAATATTCAATTTATTTTCATCTTTAGATATAATAATAATATCGCTCTGTTAGATATAATACAATTCAGTAAGTTAAAATTCATCTGGTACAATATTATTACCGAGTAAATCATATTCTTGACAAATAGCATAAAGATTAGATTGTTAAATTGATGCTCGAGATGGGAAAGAGACATAACGTACCAACTTTTTTTTACGATTTCCCGACACATACAAAATCTTGAGAATGACAAGATTTTAAACAAGTAAAGTGTTCTGGTGGCTGTGAGTGTATAAACCACTCTTCTCTCATAATAGACACCCAAATCCACACCCACCCACCTACACTCTTTACGGACTCCCGGTAAGAGTGGTAAAAAAAATCAATTCCGAACACCCCGACAAATTACCGGGTATCCGAGACACCTAGTACGTTATGTCTTTGTCCCCTCGAGATAACTAACATAGAAATATCTATCATTATCATAATCTATTAAACAAGAAATACGATTAGCATTAGGATCACTCATAAGTATATCATTTGTAGGTGTATAAATAAAATAACATGGCGATATAAGATCAAATATAAATAATTTAATAGAAAAGCCATAAGAAACAAATATTTTTAGATATGACAAATACTACATATTTATCACCTGGTGTTCGACAATTATTATTAAGTGTGTCGTCAACATCAAATTATAAAGAAAATAATCATTTATCAATTGATGATATTCGACAATGTTTATGTGTCGAAGGTATTTATTAAATTTATTGATAAATCGAATGTTATTTTCTTATGTAGAAACAGGTATTAATTATCAAGAATCTATTCGTCGATTAGATATGACAATATTACCTCAAATAGAACATTTCTTCGATCAAATGACTATTGAACAATTTCGATCGTATTATGATAATGATTGTTATTGTGGATGGTTAAAAAATAGAAAAGTAAAGTTCAACAAGAAAATTAATGTGAAGAAAATTGATATTTTTTTTATTGATAGGATTTATTTCGAATATTTAATCTTTTAAAAAATAATGAAATTCATTTAGCTACACTTCTTTTAACTTGTCTAACTGAACGAAATCTTGGTAGTGTAAGTAATACATTTAATTTATACGTGATACTTAATATATATATTATAATGAATTAGTTGCTCTTAATACAAATCAATACTGTACCTAATCTTCTTCGACAAATTATTGAATCACCTACTCTTTGTTCAATTCTCGGTTCAGATTTAGTAAATTATATGAAATAATTTATATTAATATTTAAATCTTATTTTGAAAATTATAGACTTTACTCTTTCAATTATTAATCGGTAGTCCAAAATCAATTAATTTACGTAATGTTTATTGGCATGGATTTATTCAATATAATGAGATTTCACCTAAGTATATTGATATTCTCTCTTTCTTTATTTTAAATTAAAAATAATTCATTCAACATAGATTTACTTATCTTTTATTATATCTTATTCTACAAATTGGACCAATTGTTAATGAAAAAATCATACCTGAACGACAATTTATTTCATATGAACGTTTTAAAAATCATAATTTTCTTCCTCTAGGTAATAAAATAACTATTTAAGAAAAATAATATTAGCACTAGATATGCGCGGGACCCAGTTTTTTCAATCCCAATCTCGATAGTTGGTCTTATAGGCGGTTCCGACGACTACCATGACGAATCCGTTAGTTCGCACCCACGCCCTAGAGTTAAATCTCAGTATGAACAACTCTTATATTAGATCTCAAAGTTCTATAAATTTAAAATATCTCTTATTTCTCTATAGGTATTTGTTGTCCAAATGCAGACACAGCAATTGATATAATTAAAAAGAATTCACTTGTAGATGATGGTTATAAACCATTATTAATATCAAGTATCAATTATTTCTATAATGAAAATGAGTAAAATATATTCATTTCATGCTTATTTTTGTATCTGTCATACTTAATTTAGATATGGTTTGAGTATGATGCTTTTATTACCTGTATTTGAACATTTGTTACGAAAATTATTTGTTAATGCTAATCATTGTCCTGAACGTTTATTAACAGCTGCGGTTTATTTATTTTATTTATATAAATAATAATAAATGAATGATTTGAATATTTAGAGTACAACGTTATTTACGACTTTAGATGAAGTAAAATTTAAATCATTCATCTAATTTTCTATAAATTAAACTTTAGATTTTAGCTTGTTGCTTACCAGATGGTTCACCAAATCGTCTTTGTGAAGAACTTGGTCAAGGTTACATGGTATATAAATAAAAACTTATCAAATAAATCAATATAGTTTAAATTCTAGAGTCTATTAGGTGATTTAATCACATTTCCTGAAGGTGTTTGTCTTCGATCGAAATTAAGTCATGGTGAAATCGACTATGATTCTCTTCCACAAACAATTGCTCATGCTCAATTAAGTCTTTTACTCATATTACTCTATCGATATAATCACAATGTATATAAAAAGTAGAATTTAATCTTTTAATATAATTGAATTTGTTCTATTTAGGAATCCAATGATTATGGACGAATTCTTCTTGATTATATAAAAAATTACAAAGTTTATTATCACCCAATTGCTATTGCTAAAAATCAAGTATATAACTGTGATTTATATTCTATAATTATTTCAATTACTTTTAGATACGTGAATGTATCGAAGAATTTAAACAAATATCTGAATGTGCAACATTAATTGAAGAAGAAATTCCAACAACTACTGATTTTCCAATTAAATTAATTGATTTTTGGCGATTATTTATTCCTTCTGGTTATAAATGAATTTATAAATATATATCATTGAAAGAATTCTTTTTCTATTTAGATAAACTATCGTTATTTAGTAATATCTCATTAGAAACAATTGATATATTAATCAATGAAGAAAATATAAATCTTATTAATCGATATTGTACTTGTAAAGTAAGAAATACAACTAAAGACTAAAAGCTAGTTCTAGTTATTTGAATATTGATGAATCGGTTTGTATTATCTGAATAGTTTCCGAGACTTAATTCTGTGTCAGAATGTGATATATACTTTATTAGACTAAATCGTGTCTCTTATCATTTAGTCAATAACAACTGGTTATAATGAACAATCATTTATAACAATAACACGTCAATTATCTACTCATATACGTCAGATATTGATTAATATTGATACATTTATAAAAACACGTGGGCAAGCTTATCATTCGAAACAATTACGAGCAAATCAACGTAGTAATTTTGAACGTTTTATTAATATGTAAATATTTCATATGTATTCAATTGATATTATATGTAAATATCTTCTTTTTAGTTATGATAACCTTCGTCAATTGATATTATTTATCTGTCATTTAAATTCTTGTATACTCTTTGCATTAGATTATATTCGAAGTATTGATTTGAAATATTCTTCAGTTTCAATGAAGTAAGTAAAAAATTTACGATAAGGAAAAGAAATTATTTTTATACGTATATTATGTAGATTTTTACGAATTTGGTTAACATTCATTGAAAATACAGTTATATTATCAAGAATAACACGTAATCGATGGGATGAAATACTTACCTTATATTCAACTACCATTGATAAATCGACAAAAATGATATTCAAACTATAATTATTCTTTTTTTAATATTTGGTTTTTATTACATGTTACTATATTTTTATAATTATCAATAAAACTGACGTCATATTTTAGGTACAACAATGTAGTTAAGGTCAAAAAACAAAACGTATAGATATGTCACTGTTTATATAGGTACTTCTCAGGTACTGATATTGATAAATGAACTATTAGAATAATTATAATTGTTATGAGTAAATGCACAATATTGATTTTATTCCTTCACTCTGACACATCATTGACCTTTTCCATCATATAATGGTTTCATTAGAGACATTATATGTCATCAATAATGTGGTGTTCAATCAGATAACTTTTTAACCAATATGAAATTTTATAAAATGTATTTTTTATTATAATAAGTTGTTTTCTAAAAAACAAATGCACTGAAGTACTGTATCGTTTATAAGATGACTTTTTCTCATATAAAAAATATATGATGACACTTGTTTTTACCGCGTACATTTGAGTTTATTAATATGTGACGAAAGAATGACTAAATCATCGGTAGTATAAAATATAGCTTCGATTCGATTAACTATATTCATTCGTTGGATAACAGTGACAACAATATGTCTCAAACAAATGTTGCTTACAAATATGATTCAGATGCAATTTCTCTTGGTGAATTACCATCAGACAAGCAATATACATTATCACCGGGAACCTTACCAGTACGTATACGACGACTAAGTATTCACATACCACATGGCCTACATCATAATTCACATAATGTACTATCTGTAGAGATTGATAATAATCATCCATATGATAATTCATTAGAACAACAAGTACCGAATAAAGAAGAAAAACAGGAAAATCCATTTAATGATGATAATGATGACTCATATTATTCATTGAAAAATTTTCGTGAGAGACGTCGAGGTGAACGTGATGAAGATTCTGGTTTATCACGACGCATCAAACGATTTTATAAAGATCAAGATGAACTTATTGA